AGTGAGTGAGTGTGTGTGTGTGTGAGAGAGAGTGTGTGTGAGTGAGTGAGTGTGTGTGTGTGTGTGTGTGTTTGTGTGAGTATGTGAGAGAGAGATATTGTCTGTGTGTGTGTGTGTGTGTGTGAGAGAGAGAGAGAGAGTGTGTGTGTGCGTGCGTGCGTGTGTGTGTGTGTGTGAGAGAGAGAGAGAGAGTGTGTGTGTGCGTGTGCGTGTGTGAACAAAAGTCTGCAGAAACATTAATTTCTGTGTTATTGAGCACCGACGGCTTCAGTAACATCACATTATAATGTGTTTGCGCTCCAGAGGAAGATCTGCGAGTCAAACATGAATATAATTATTGTTCATCATCAGTGTTAATGAGTGTGTGCGTGTGTGCGTGTGTGGCCAATTTAGTTACTTTGTAGCTAGATTTAGCGACTTCCCCGCCCCTTTTGAGACTTTTTTTCAAAAGTTTAGGGACAACTATAGTAACTTCTTGGATAAACCTTATCTAAGTTCTCATCTTGCCCACTGATCTGCATTCATCTTTATATAGATCCGTGAATTGGCCATTGTGACGTCATCTAGTGACGTCAAGCTACGCTCAGTTGAAAGCGGTTGGCGACACAGTGCGTGACGTCACGGGACGCTCCACGTGCCGCTTGTTTACAGCGAGTCTGAGGAGCAGAGATTGTGAAAGTGTTCCTGGATTGAGTTTCACTGCTGCTCTTCATATTTAGATCTTCATCAGAGTCTGTGAGAATCACCAGCACACGGTCAGTATGGCACCTAACCCGAACTAACACTAGCAGTGATAACCCTGGCTTGAGCTTGAGCTTGAGCTGCTCTTCATCTGATCTGTGCTGAAGGTCAGCTCTGTTCTCCAGACCTGTGTCTCAAGCAGCGTTTGCACAAGCCCAGTTCTGTGTCTGGAGCGGATGATCAGTGCTTGCTGATTCTCATGTGTGTGTGTTTCTCGTCATATGCAGATATTAGAGAGAAGAATGTTCCAGATGGTTCAGTTCTTAGTTCCCTCGGGGCCCAAGAGACCCGGTAACATCAGCCTATCTCCCCCGAGCCGACAGAACCGGACTCAGACCGCTTCCAATGAGTTTCTGCAGCACGTCCGGTGAGGATCCAACCTGTGTGTATATATATATTTCACATAGAAAAGAGCTATTTTAAATTGTAATTAAATGTGTCCCTGCAGCACAAAAGCAGTGTTAAGTCGCTGGGGGATATTTGTAGCAATAGCCAACAATACATTGTATGGGTCACAATTATAGATTTCTCTTTTATGCCAAAAATCATTAGGATATTAAGTAAAGATCATGTTCCATGAAGAGATTTTGTAAGTTTCCTACCGTAAATATATCAAAACCCTCAGATCATCCATACGTCACCCTCAGATTCCAGATAGTTGTATCTCAGCCAAATATTGTCTTATCATAACAAAGCTTATTTATTCAGCTTACAGATGATGTATAAATCTCAATTTTAAAAAATTGACCCTTATGACTGCTTTTGTGCTCCAGAGTCACATATTTCACAATATTACTGTTTGTACTGTAGTTTCTATGTATTTTGTAATCTGTGTTACTGGATTGTTTTCTTTGTTCAACTGGAGATGTTTAAAGTGCCCTGTCAATCACAGCTGTCAGGCTCCGCCCCTCTCCTGCAGTATGTTGAGCAACAGGGCTGTTTTGACAGGTTAACATTAGAGTCTAAGCGAGCTCCAGACGGCTCAAACGCTCTGTCCGTGTTATCGATCCGCGCAGGAGAGTCAGCGGCCTGAAACAGCAGGACATGTTCTATAACCTGCGTGTCCCAAACCAGAGTCAGAGCGACCGAGACGAGATCCACCTGCTGCTGCTCACAGGTGCGTCGCCGTCTGACGCTCAAGCACTGTCACAGATCACCCAGTCAACACACTTTAGTTCACTACACTCCCATAAGCTGCTGAAAGCACGGATTTTGTACTTAATCTACTAAAAATGATTCTTTAGTACTTCTTAAGAGCTCAACTGTGCTATTTTGGGACACGGTGAATATGAACTAAAATGTGCTTTTAACATCATTTCTCTGTATTTAAAATGTATTTACTTACCCCTCGCAGTAGAACTGAAACCATCTTTCATACACAAATATACTTATCATACATGGAAAATACACTTATTAATTATTTAAAATATAAAAATAATATATTATGAATATATACAATGTATTTATAATATATTTCCCACATATTTTTATAGATTAAATAATTCATTTAAAATGTGTTGTATACTTAATTACACGTTTATGGTGTCTTTAAATAGTACAGCCGAGTGCACTATTACTATGTCATTAGTAGCACTTTTTCCACATTAAAAATATAGCACTTCAAGTACTTTATGCTAAAAGTATGCTTACTGTTAAATTGTGAGTTTTGGTAGACATCTAAACACATATGAAGGATTAATCCAAACATGTGCTATTAGTGCGTTTACACTAGTCTAAGCACAGTAACCTGTAGGGTTTCACTTCAGTAGTACATCTCTACTGTATTCATGAAAATCCAAATAGAACGTAGTGATGGTCTATATCAAAATCTGCTATAATGTTATGTGAAGCGATCGTAGCAGACTTTTAAGCAATGCAGTTATAAAACACTTCTGGTACTTTATCTGACTGCACTTAAAATCAGTTTAAGTGCTAATTAGTGTATTTATATTAAGTGTATTTAGCTCAGTTGGGAAAATGTACTTATAATTATTACATTACTAATATATTTTAAATAAAATTTATTTAATTTAAACTTTGGATAACTGTATAAAAGTGTGCTAACATTGAACTAATTTTTATATCATTCAAAACACATTTTTAAGAAATGCATGAATAAAAGTCCTCTATTTTTGCGGTAGTATATTTTATTTCAATGCACTAAAAATCAATTTAAATATCTGGTATTTAGTATACTTTTACAATTTCACTGAAGTACTACTAAAGTAGAAATATACTTTTAATAAGTGTATTTATAGTGTATAACTTTTATAATTTTAATTAGAACAAAAAATAAAAATGTACTACAAATATACTTGCTTGTATTTAAGTATTTTTAGCGCAATCAAGTACACTTTATTTGAGTGTGTGTGTGAGTGTGTCAGTGTGTGTGTGTGTGTGTGAGTGTGTCAGTGTGTGTGAGTGTGTCAGTGTGTGTGAGTGTGTCAGTGTGTGTGAGTGTGTCAGTGTGTGTGAGTGTGTCAGTGTGTGAGTGTGTGTCAGTGTGTGTGAGTGTGTCAGTGTGTGTGAGTGTGTCAGTGTGTGTGAGTGTGTCAGTGTGTGTGAGTGTGTCAGTGTGTGTGAGTGTGTCAGTGTGTGTGAGTGTGTCTTTACATTGTGAGTCCGGCCTGTGGTCCCCACGAGGGAAAAAATGATTAAAAATAGTAAATGATGTTTATCTGAAAGTGTAAGAATGCAAACAGGGTTTCTGTAAGGGGTAGGTTTAGGGTTAGGGATAGAAAATATCATTTGGTCAGTATAACAGTAATAGAAGTCTATGGAAAGTCCCCACAATTCACAGAAACAAACGTGTGTGTGTCTCCAGGTCACGGAGTGTTCTGCATCGATCTGAAGACGTGGAGCGGCTCTGTTTCGGTCGCGAGCGAGGCTCAGGTCAGAGCGGAGCAGCAGAACTTCACCAGCGTCTCCATCGAGCAGCTGCCCGACGCTCTTCAGGCCATTACAGTGAGCAGTTTCAAAATATCACTCAAATCTCAACTAATATCATCTATCAATTAAACACGGCGACAATACGTTTGTTTTTTTATTGTTGTGGGATGCATATGCTATGGTGGTCGAGAGAGCTCAATGCACTGCAACTTAAGAAAACACATGCAAATAGAAAAAGCACCAGCAAATGAATGAGTCTGACTGCACATGTGCTGGAAATACTCACAGCAACCAAACACAGAAAACAGCTGCAAGTAGCACAGAACACAACTGGGACCCCAACAATGCTTACGAAAATGAACCATGGTTTTATTATAGAAAAAGTGTAGTAACCATGTTTTTTGTTTGTTTGTTTGTTTATTTTTGCATATTGATTACCCTTTGTATAACCACAGTTGTACATACCATGGTTAAACTATGGTTAGTGTTTTTAATTTACCATGGTTTAATTATAGCATTAACTATGCATTAATGCTACTAACTATCTATCTATCTATCATAGAAACACTATAGCATCCATCCAGACTAATCTAGCCACCACCCCAAGTACCCTAGCAACTACATAGCAACACCCCTGGATACCCTAGCAACCACATAGCAACACCCTAGCAACCACATAGCAACACTCTAGCAACCACCTTGGGTAGCCTATCAACCTCATAGCAACATATTAGCAATCACCCTGAGTACCCTAGCAACCGCATAGGAACACCCTAGCAACCACCCACAATACCCTAGCAACTGCATAGCAACACCTTAGCAACCACCCAGAAGGCCCTAGCAATCACCCCAGTACCCTAGCAACCACATAGCAACACCATAGCAACCAATCTGGGTACCCTAGCAACTGCATAGCAACACCCTAGCAACCACCCCGGTAGCCTATCAACCGCATAGCAACAAATTCGCAATCACCCCGAGTACCCTAGCAACCGCATAGCAACACCCTAGCAACCACCCATAATACCCTAGCAAACGCATAGCAACACCTTAGCAAGCACCCCGAGTACCTTAGCAATAGCATAGCAACACCCTAGCAACCGCCTTAGCAACCACCCCGGGTACCCTACAGGGTTTCTGCAGGATTCTTAAGCTCAAATTTAAGACTTTTTAAGAGCAACGCAAATAAAATGAATACCATATGCGCGGGGTAGGGCAGTGTCTATGGTAAGCTATTAAACTGTAAAATTACTGTAAAAAGCATAATTTACAGTTCAGATACAAGTTTTAAAATGATAAACTTTACATTTCAGCCTTTAAACCATTGTTAAGAAAATGGATGTCAAAAGTATTAATTATTATATTAATTTAAATTATTATTATCAATAAATGATCATATCAGTTAAATAATATAAATTAGGGGTGTGTGATATTAACAAAAAATGATACCTCGATAATATTCTGGGATTTTAATGATAATTAGGTGTTATTGTGCTGATATCTTATGGACTGCTGAAGACAGCTGACTCCTAAAGTTTTGATGTTCTTCATCTTCTGTGTGCTCAGATCACAGCAGTGATAGAAATTCATTATTTCCAACAGGTTTTATGGGCATTTTTACCTTTAAGACATTTTTTCTAAAAGTGTGCCCCATCTTTTGAGTTAAATTCTTCATCTGGGCTGTTAGCAAGCAAATGAAATCAGCATCAACTAAACGTATCTTTGCAGCGCAGAGGACACACAGAAGCTGCGTCTGAAGAGGCGTCTAGATGTGTTTACACGCGGTTTAATGCAGCTCAGAGGGACATTAAATACTTTAACCTGCAGCTACAAATGCATAAATAATGTTTTGATATTTGAAACTTAAAACATTGAAAACTGATGTTTGAAATGATTTAAAAAATGAAATGGTGCCTTAAATGTGAAATTAAACCACCAGCAGGTGGCAGCAAGTCACTGTTACGTGAGTTATTGTGATTGAACCGAATCATTTAAACGCTTGATTCATTCAGGAACCAGACACGGTCGTGTTGCTCAGAGACGCAGAACAGCGCTGTGGCTGTGTTTGGAATTATTTTTGTTGGAGGAATAGAGCAAAAACAGGAAATATGGTGTCTAAAACGTAAGTCTCTTAATATTAACTTCTTGTTTATTGAACTGTTGTATAAAATCAATATCACATTTGTGATCATGCTTACATTTGGAGAAAATAAACGTCACTCTTCGTGTGATATTAACTATATGAAGTGATATAAATATATACATTTTCTGCCCCATATCTTATATTATATGATACTTCTAAATGCATTTTAATAGACTGATTCATGCAGTGAAAGAAGGCACTCTAAACGCGCATGCACACTAGTCTAACCTGCTAGACTTCATCACCTAATGAATGTGTGCACTCTGGAGCTGTTTTGTGTTTGGTTTTCGCGATATACTCGATAATATCAAATCACACATCATTAAAACAACAATTACGATATTATCGCAGACCATACATATCGCACACCCCTATGTTTAGATTTTTATAATGCATTGTCTTCTTATCGATCCACCAGTTCACATTTACAGCTCTGTGTGTTTGCAGAGTAAAACATGGGTGGATTTTCACATTGGCCTGAACTCTGAACAAAACCACAGTTTTATTGGGAATGCTCATTCTCTGCCAGCAGGTGCAGCGTTTGGTAGAAGCAGCACTGTTTCCCGGTAACTGCTGAACACAGAGCAGCAGCACCGACTCTGAACCTGCAGCACTCGCGTTTATTCAATAAAATCATAACGTTAGCCTTTTGAAGTTTAATCCTCACATTCAGCCATATCACCATTCTGGTCTTTCTGTCCCCAAATGTAAGACCCCTTGAAATCATAATTAAGACTTTCTTGTTACAATTTAAGACTTTTTAAGACCCCGCGGAAACCCTGCCCTAGCAACTGCATAGCAACACCCTAGCAACCACCCAGAATACTCTATCTGTCTGTCAACTTTAACCCTTAAAACTACTTCAAACTGAAAAACTTCAAACTTCTAGCTTTTAAAACTTTTTCAAACTTTCTGGTCAGACTTTCTCAAGCCAACTTAAAGTTTGTCTAGTTTAAATTAAGCGTATATACACATGCAAATAGAAATAGACATACATGGACATAAAACAAAATATATACAAATTATTTAATATTTTTGTGACCCAAACTCCATGCAGGGTGGTCACATAATAATAAAAAACATGTATGATATATAGGCCTATAGGCTATTTATTTAGCCTATTTATTTATTTTAATAGTAAAACCAAGGTTCATTTTTGTAAGTAAACTTGTAAAAGTAGCCAGCTTACATAATGTTCCAGTAATTGTGTACTTCGTCAGCTTATTTAGGCTAAGCATGTCCCAGCCAGGTTTGTCACTTGTTGATGTGGTCTGTGCATATCTCCAGCGTTTCTGTTTCCGCAGCACGTTTGTATTTGTGAGTATTTGCAGCACATGTGCCGTCAAACTGATGAAGATGTTTTCTTAATTTGCATGTGTTTTTTCATTTGCAGCGCGTTGAGCTCTCTCGACCACCGTAAAACACTATTATTATAATTAATAATTATTATAATGTTTGCAGGTCAAATTGACCCAAATGGGTTTTATAAAATTCACCAAAAATCACACACAGATGAGCAGCGGTCAGGAGATCACCGGAGACTTCCAGGGCTGCCAGCATCTCGCCCTCAACCGACAGGAAACAGAGCTGCTTGAGTTCAGCAGAACAGGAAGTGTGATCACCGACACACTGTGGAGCCTGCTGGGACACACACCGCAGGTAACACGCAACACACTTGATCACACACTCACACGCACACACTCACTCACACACACGCTCACTCACTCTCACACTCTCACACTCACACACACTCTCACACACACACACACAC